GTTTTCTCGCGATAATAGCTCTTCTGTGTGGCTCTATAGCCTCATTTTTGATCTTAAGCGGGGTGTTGCATCGGGTGAACTGTTGCATGCACTGACCACATACAGTAGGTTGTGGAGGTGGATCTTGGCCACGCTAGGTACCACCAACGCGCGTCTAAAGTGTAGATCTTGGTACATCAAAAGCCATTACAAGGGCGCGGAGAGACTGTTTTAGATTATTACGATAGAAAGCGATAGCAAGACTTATTCTGCCTTCACGAGAAGTCTGCATAGAGCGTTGTTGTTGCGGCATAGTGGTGGTAGTGTAGAGAGTCAGGTGAGGTGGGGTGGGGTGGCTAGCTCGCTGATCTCGCACGTTAGAGGATTTACAAGTACGTGTGTAAGCCTCGTTGGCCGGCATAACCTCGGCGCGTTGCGCACTTAACCATTCATCTGTCGCCAGAGAAGCGCGGATCCGCAATGATTATTCGCACCTCCTCACATATACGTTGGTTTTTGCGTATGGATGATACACCCCTAAAACATCACAGTATAAGCCTTCATCCTTGTCTTCATCCAGACTTGGGATGCGATGCTACGCCTTGTCGACGCACGTGCCTTGAAGAATCTTCCGATGTCTTTGCAAACGCTTGAACCACCTCTCAACCCTATCTCTCTTCAAAATAGTACGTTTCGAACCCACTGAGAAGGCTCCAATGTGCTAGAGAAGGCCGCTGGCCAACCGGCGCTTTCGATATGCGTGAGAAACCTTGTGCTTCGGAGAATTCTGGATCTCTAGGACCGGAAGAAGCCGAGCAAATGGAGATGCGCACTCGACCGTCCAGGCTATCCTAGCGGCAGGTTCGCTCATACGGAGTATGTTGTGAACTAGTGATGCTCAGGTCGAAGATCAAGTTGTGCAGAAGCTCACGAAGTCTCCGCATCTCCGCGCACTACAATGTGCTTTGACCGAATCCGTTCAGCAAGAGAGGTCTTTCCTTAAACGTGTTCGATGGAAGAAACAGTCAATTTCTCTATAACTGTTTTGCACTTGATTTTCGTTGTGAAAGACGTAGATGGAGGCTGAAAGGTCGGACGAATTCTGTTCACACAAAGGCTGACTTTAGTCGAAAATAGGAATTTGCAGAGTTGTTTGTTGTAATGACTGTATTAGGAATGGTACGTAATTGCTCAAATCCTTGCACAAGGAACTTGTCTACGTCATCAGACATTCAATGAAAATCCCACTTACTCTAACCGGTTAGCTGCTTCTCCCAACCATGCACACGCTTTCTTGATTGACAGTATCATTAGCCAATAGACATTAACTGTATATAGAAATACCCCAACATACTCCAACGTGCTTTAAACTCATATCATTTTGAGTTTTGTGATTCCTTGTACCGTTTCTTGGCAATTGCACTAGGATGCCAGATGCATGCCATATGACGTATGTGATCGTACGAATGTGCATTGGAGACTTCTGTATGATAACACAAACTCTCCGCTTCGCTCGGCTACGCAATACACTACATGCACTTCCCCCCTTTCCTCTGTTGCGGTTGTTTATCGAAAGGATTGTCTTGTAAACCCGATAGCTATGGCTTCAATTTCAAGCGCACAGGCTGTTGAAAATATTATTAGTTACAATTTCCAATATGGATATGAGCCGTTGTGTAGAGCGCTCACAGCAGCCGGAGTTCAAGAAGAAGATTGGGATGGAAACCGAAAATTGGCGCAGTTTGGCACTGCACTTAGCGAATTCATATTAAGTTACTTAGCCTTTGAAGCAGAGGCCACAAGAGGTAGAACTCTGCGAACATGTGCCACGAAATAAGGCTGACCCCTACTTAGCTAACGTCAATGACTTTAAGAAAAGTGTGGCTAACAATGAACACTGTGCGTCTATCGCAAGACGGACAGGCATCAGCGGCTACATTAGATTCGCCGACAAAGACGGCGCACAGTCACCAAGTGTTCACGCGAAAGCGATTAATGCAATTATAGCGGCTGTCTTCTTTGATTCTGGAAGAGATATTGGTATCGTGGCTAGGACGATGCTTCATCTTGGGTCAGTTAGACCAGCCCTCCTTACTACAGCGCGCTAACATTGCATACTATCTAGTCTATTTAATACTGCTAGCCAAACTGTAGATCCTTCTTTACTTTCTCTGAATGAACTTCCGGGATCGGTCGATGTGGGCTCCCTTGCGCGATTGCTGTTCAATGTCGATGCTGGTAACTATTCGTCATTGTTTGCGGATAGCAGTGGCCAGGCTCCTTGGACATGCTCTTGGAGAATACAGCATGGAGTGTCAAATCTTCAGCAACCACCGGCGGAGATAAATGTTTCGATAGAGTTCGGA